TGAATAAGAAAAACCCACTGAAAACGTGACATCTCTTAAAAATTTACTGAACCGTTCCTAGAAGCGAAAGTATCTTGAATTTGTCAAGTGGTTCTCAAACCTCTTGATTATGATTAAAAGTCAAGAATGAACAGGCAAGTCAAGTAACCTGGGGTTACTGCGTAAAAATAATTAATGCAATTATGCCTACAGTGTGTAAAATAGCAACAGACAGAATACGAAATCAGTTTCATAATAAGGCTTATAGAGATATATCCATGTGTTTTCTCATTGACTTTGAGTTTGGATGTTGACTAAAAACTGTTTCTTTAATGGTTTCTAAAGTGATCGGTACGAAAATTTAATGTCCATTTTTTTGCCATTAGATGACGTCATTATTACATCCAAATAAATAATAAATTTTATAAAAAGTTGCAAAAGTTTAATCGTTTCAAGTGTGATAGTTGCCACAAAAGTAGTTGTAGTTAAAAAAAATCGTATAAACAACCAGATTTTCTGTTGAACGGTATGACGGCCACTTAAAGTAAAATTAGGTTTTGGATTATTCTGTTAATCTTCTAAATAATTCTCATTGAAATTCAAAAGAGTAAACAATGATTGGTGTATAGTAATTTTTAGTAACTAAGATAAATTTAAGTTCCCTTGTATGCATTTTATTGTAGTTTATTTGTTATATCGTCGTATTCTAAACTTAAACTAACTAATTAGTTTTTTTCTACTAAAGAGGTTTTAAAATTTACTAAATCCTCTACCTATCACGTGGTCACTGCTTTAGAGTCATACAATTCAAATTGTATAAGCTTGTATTCTAATATTTGTGGCATTCCACTTTTATTAAATGTTTCGCATAAGCCCTCAAGCTTAACATATCAAAACATGTTTTAACTAGGAAATATTGTGTTCCTGGTGTTGCCCTATTAATGAACTAATTTGATATGTTTTAGTTTCCTTCCTACCAAATAGTTTATAGGGTTAAACTGCATTCCCTGAATTACATTTGTGATAAATAAGACATTCCACTGGCCTGGACACTGAAAAAGACAGGATCAAATCCCAAAACGTCATAGTGATAGTTCAGCCAACAGTTTAATTATCAAACAAATATAACGAAACTCAAAAAATTTATGCTTTACAAAGTTGTAGTTTTATAATGAGTTTGTCGTTAACAGAAGTTAAGTAGGGGAGTGAAGGAGGAAGGCCGCTGACTCAGACTACTTAACATCCCCCTTTTACCCCCTAATTTCCCCTCCCCTACAACAACCCCTTAATGAAGGGCACCGTCTCAGAGCCTCACTTTACTCCTGATTGAATTTGGAGTGAGTAATTATAATACTAAGCCGTAACTTTTGGTTCCAACAGCGAAGAGCTTTAGTTTTGACCTCAGGTGTCATAAGTATGACACCTAGTCATAATAGTATGACTACTTGTACGATGTTCTCTAAGAGAAATTTTATGTAAACTTAGAGACAACCCAGAGACTTTTTTGGTTAGTTTAATTTACTCGTTGAGAGTTTGTACACTAACACAGGGGCTTTACAATACTTTCATCACGTAATTATTAACACCTTTTAACACTGAAAGAATACGTTTATCGTTGTATTCTAAAGCCCCGGTGTTAATGTACACACTCTCAACGAGTAGTGCTCCGACAGCACAAGGCATCAAGGGTACGAATTCACAGCCCAAACGTGTTAACATATCACATTTTTTTAAATTCCAAAATACAGATCAATTCCCCCCAAAAACAAACAGCTATTTTAATTTTTTTTACTATAAAAAGTTTAAAAAATACAAATAAAAAAATATAATTTTAAATAGCTAGTGATTATTTCCTTATTTTCCCACACCCGAATACCAATTTTGGTGAGAATCGCATTACCCATTCTCCCTGTGAATTGGTACCAAAGATGAAAAATTTACTACTTTCAAGCTCCATATCTCGCTTAGTGAAAATAAAAAAAGTTTTCCTTATATATTTGTATCTCAAATTATATTATTACAATTGAACAATAACAAAAAATAAGACATAAATTTTTTTACCAAACTCCCTTAACATCAACGAGAACATTTTTTGTGTTTAAATCATCTGTGCAACAATTAATTACGATAAATCCAATTGTTATTTACCGATTGTCCAATATGGTCCAGCATCAGTTGTCTAACGACAGCCGAGGCACCCGTTTCTTATCGCCACATCACATTAGCACAAGTTGAATCATTGATTGAACTAAGATAGACGTTGACGTGCGTCAGCTGATATCGTACTGTTGAACCCTCGTGTACCGTGCCTAGTGAAGGCATACAGTGAGTTTTAGTTTATTTTTAAATATAAAATTACTTATTTTAAGATTGTTTACTTAAGATCATGTTGTATTTACGTTTAATTTATTTTAAGATGCCATTTTTTCTGTGTGTACTGTAATTTTTAATATTTTTTGTTTGCATTTAGTTTGTTATACATCCAAACAACTGGTAATTTTTGGTAGACTCATTCTAATCTGGCCTCATCGGAACTTATAAATCAAATACTGTAAAAACAAAAGAATATCAGGCTTAAGAGTAGTATGCCACATAGTTTAGTTTAGAGAAAAATCTTAAGTTTTCATTTCCCGCATGATCGAAGCCGGTTAGCATTAGGTCTTAGTTAAAGTGGCCATTTATTAGCTGTCTTTTTATAAGTGGTTAAGAGAAGGTCTTTTTAAATGAGGCCGGTATTTTTGTATGTGCTTTGGCATGTTTTGACGTCTTATATAAGGGGACAGACAAAACACTGGTATTGTGTCAATCTTTCGTAAGATAGATTTGTAGTCCTAAACTAGTCTTAAAGCGATGTTTGATTGTTTTGACGATGGTTTATTTTGGTAGAGGAATGGCTTAGGCCCCAAAGTTACCACTGTTTTTGAACCCGTCAGAAAACATTGTGCTGCATAATATCCCGATTATATAACCACGTGGTTCGATTTTAACAATCCATAGCTTAGAGATTACTATTTCGTTATATATGTTAGATTCATTTATGATATTTAAAATCCACGGTTCTTTATACATCTGTGTGGCCCATCTTAACAGAATAAATTAAAACCTGTCACACCTAACAATGTTTATATAATAAGTTTAAAAACCTATCCTAGTTATTGACGACATGTTTCCTCGTTCAGTAGTAATACTTATTCAAAACATTTTCACTACCAAGATCTCTGGAAGTATTGGGAAAGAGTTAAGTTTAAGAGGATGTTGGCTGTCTCAGTTTATGGAAGTAGTAAACCAACGTGAACGGCGTCGGCCTCTTAAGAGGCGATTCACTCTGAAATTACTCAGCATCTTGCCTCGGGTCGATTGCACTTTGCGTTTAACGGGGTTTAAAAATTACTCGCCCGAGAATCGAAATTATGGACAAAAATATTTTTAGATGTAAAAACAAGCTATTTCCGATCCATGTAGTACGTCTACTTCAGAATAGAAAGTCAATGCTGTTACCTAAACTGTTGCTGTTGATTAGTGAACCATGATCATTAAAATTAAACTGAGTGATATTGTTCCATTATGATTTAGTTTTAATCACTAAATCGAATTTAATTAAAAGTAACTGTATAACACTAAATACAATAGTATTAGATCAGTTAAGGTACATATAGGTTTAATTTGTTTTTAAAATACAAAGTACAAGTTTGAAAATTGTAACAACACGTGTGGAAAATAATATTAGTTTGCTGATGTTTTGAACTTCATTTTATCAAAACAGTGTCAGTGTCAAAGCAAATCGGAGTTCAGTGAGAAAATTTGTGTTGTATGACTTTTTAAATGATTTCTTCTTTTTAAACTACATAGCGTGACCTCTTGGCACATTTATTCCTTCATGAGATTGATTGATATTGACATTAACTATACATATTAATACAAATGCCAATGCAGTTTCATCTATGTATTGTGATTAGAAAATATGGCAATAAAATACAATTTTCTTTAAGTACAAAACATCTATCGGATTTTAATTGATTTGAAAATTAGTTGATAAAATAGCACATAGAAAACATAAAAACTCAATCTTATACAAAAAACCATAAAATCTTGTCACCTGATACAAAATGCTGATACGCAGGATACATATATGCAGGATCTTTTTGTTGTATACAACATTATATTAAATGTCATATGAAATCAGACTGGGAGATTGGGCCTCATAAAATCAAATATATTAAATTGCCAGAGTGTATGCTGCACCGCTGCACCATCTGTGACTTGTTATGGTGGCGCTGTATCAGTTAATTAATTCTAGCTTCAACATACTGAATGTAATGAAACAAATTTGAATATTTTAGATTGGACGCAATATTATAGGTTCCATTAAATACTGAAGTAAGGTGTCTTCTTAATAATTCTATTTACACTAAAACCTCAAAAATGTAAATTTCTAAAAAAAAATATATAAAACAAACAAATTGTTGATAGTATTACAAAAACTATCAACATTATACAATGTATAAAGGTTATGTATGAGTTGTAAGTAACCCACGTTATCCCCAGGTGACCCAGAATAACCGGATCGAAACTAATATCATGTACACTTATTTGTAATCAATGTAAGTTTTTCGATCTTGGCATGAAGTGGGCCGCTACCATCTAAATTTTCCCTTAGCAACATATTGGTGAGGCAAATATGAAAAAGTCAAGGTATATAATTATTGTAATAAACAAAAGAGAATCAATTAACTTATTTCGAGAGGATAAAACCCTAATCCTACCTGTGGCCCACCAATCCTGCACAATAAGCTACCGATGACGTCACTGGACCTACATAACAGTTCCCAACCTAGCAGAAACTAACCTAACCTAACACTGCCTAACCTAACCTAACCTCATTCACAACACTTTAATTTGCATCGGGGAAATTTCGATATTGGTGGCAATATTCTTAAAAAGACCCACATAGAAAGCTACCTACTTACGTAGTTATTACGTCGAATACACATAATCATCATAATTTGTTTTCCCAGGGTGAGGGCAGACAGCCAGGAAAGGACGATGGTGGGAGTTGAGACTGTGGCTGCTGTAATTGGCGGGAAACATCCTTCCCTGCTAGAACAAGTGGCGCGTAAGAAGTCTTTGATATCCCAGGTATGAAAAACTTGAACCAAAAATCTTCATAGTTAAAACAACATAAAAATGCGGTTCACTACTGTCTTAAAAATCCCAAGGCCCTTAATATTTTAAGTAGTTACAATATTGTGCAGCAGTGTGTTGTTGTTTAAAAATTAGCATTGACGATTCCTAGATGTTGTGCTTTGTTGTTAGTTAAACATTCTCGAGTCGTTAGATTATCTGACTATGGTCTATCCTCAGAACAAGCAGGAATTCAACTGGACAGCAGAATTGAAACGGTAGAACTGTAGCTTGCTCTGAAGACGCTGGTCAGCTTTGACAGCAAAGTTTACAATGTTTTACTATTACATTCATAAATGAAATATTCTTGTCCGGTCTATATTTTCCCTGCTTAGAAGTGGGAGGGATCAATATTTGAATTCAAATGTCCATTTCAACTAGCGATTTCATTTCGAAAGAGTTCAAACATTATGCTGCCTTGATATATCGGATTAGAACTGTTGACAATTATTTTCCTTCTACAATGAAGACTAGGAGCAACCAAAGAGCACATTCTCTTGGTTAGCTTGACTCCACAACATTTACAATCTACAGTGATACTAAGCACCCTTTTCTTCTGCAGCTCCTGATGAACGGTTCCATCGTCCTGCTAGTGACGGGTGTCGGGATGCCTGTCGGATTCTCTGCCATTCTTCTCCCTCAGCTCCAGAGTGTCGACTCTTCTTTATCCACAGACGACGATCAAGCATCTTGGATCGGTATGTAGTGTACAAGCTCTAAAACCTCATTAGGTAAAAATTTCAAATACAAGTATCGTAGGTGAAATACATATGCTGTTGCACTACGTAAAAAATCCCTTTCGTCTGAATTAGATTTTTACTTAAGTAGGCTTAACTTTTAGAAGTAAATATTAATTGAAATTGCAACAAAAATAAGCTTCCCCTCCGTTACCTGATTAAATTTGTTTATTTACATTCCAATCATGTTAATACGCAACGACGTATGAGACGTATGCACCTATGCATACTTATCAGACCCCACTGTTGATTAAAACCAAAGTACACGTCAAGCTTTCAGTCCACCTTCTCAGGAAAAATACATATCTCGTAAGGAATCATTCATTACTTAATCTCTCCAATATTACATAGTTTGAACTGAATTAAGCATTAATCTGGCTACAATTGCAGTGTTTGTGTAAAATGAAGTGGATGGTCGGCCAAGAAAAGGAAAAGGTCGGGAATTCCGCTGGGTATATATACTCTATATGATGTAACCTGTCTCCTAACCCCTTCATCTACCTGGGAACTCACTAATGGGTTTGGGCGCGTCTCAGGTAGAAGGATGGTAGTAGAATGGTCAAGAAACAGGTCCCATCATACATACTATATCTATAATGTTGCGTCACGTGGATCATCTGTTCTTTGATATTGCGTGAATTTTTCAAAAGCCCAACAATGATGAAAGCTAGTCTAGCTGAAAGAGTCCTTACCTTCAAACAGTGATAAATAATTATTAACTTGAGTCAAAATCAAGCCAGAGAATTGTCCCTGAATTGGATATCCATCTACACTTAATTAATACATGATTTCCGACAGCTAGTGTTCACTCCATCATGACGCCGGTGGGAGCAGTGATGGCTGGTTCCTGGATGGATCGCTACGGACGACGCAGAGTGCTGCAAGCGGCGACTCTCCCTTTGGTCTTAGGGTGGCTTCTCATCAGTCTGTCCGCCTCCCACCCTCCGCTCCTGGTGGGGAGGATGATGGCGGGGTTCGCCGTGGGGATGGTACCCGCCACCGCCCAGGTATGAGAAGTAAACCCCCACATGTACATGAGTTATTCTATTATACATTATACCAGCGAATTGTATACACTTAAATGTTTATTCAGCATAAAAGAAGTTTGCAGACCAAGTCGGCACAACAATAGTTGGAAGTTTGTACGAGCGCAAACATGTTACCGGGCTTTTAACCGTATTATGCAAATTACATTTTCTCCAAAGCAGCTTTAACTGTTCGTTCTCTCTTATATTCTTCACTTAATATTTTGATAATGTTGGGTTAAAATGTACTTCATCTGATTTTAAATACCTTAATAATTAATTAAACTGCTCGGTTTCATAGTATTATTGGTAAAAAATATATGTATTTTAATCGGTAGTTTTATATGTAATTATAGAATAATGTTACAGTGCTTCATAAACGTATGTAATCTCTTTATGTATTTTTAGTCAATTTTGTGTTTGTAAAATTTTAGAATTTTCCATAAACTTTTTTTTTTTTATAAATTAGTCATCAATGCTATAATTGGTGTGATGTAGAAAATGGTGTAAAATTAATAAAAACTATATTGATCTTACATGCTTCAAATTTATTGCTGTAAGCAAAAATAAAACGATCGATGTTTAAGATTTTAAATGTGAAACTAAGTAAATATTTTATAGTACCCGGGTTACACTTTTAGTTACGGCTGAAAACATGATACTTCACTATCGACCATAAAAACCAATGGAAATACAGATTTCACAGTCATTGTTCATTGTAAATTCGCAACAACAAACAAGAAACCACCCTAAATGTACTAAAAGAACAAACGTAGAATCAAATATTTGGTACAATACTTACTGTACAATTCTTTTTGTCTATACATTAAAATCTTTCCTCAATAGTTTTGGGTTAACTGATTCTTGAAAACAGAGATAGCTTGACTTTAAACTTAGGAACTTAGAGACTTAGAAGTTATACATTATCTTGCGTGATAATTTACGTAGTTCGTTACTATTGTAGCACTGTCAGATGTCACACTACCAAAATATAAGGTACTCCTCCATGTGGGAGTCGTCAGCTACATTGAAGACACAACTCGTAATGGAATCGTACACGAACATTTAACATAATAATACGATTTCGACCGGGAAGGCCTACTACGCACGACATCTCGTCACGACTCAAGTGAAGACATTAGAATGTCCGTGTAGTCAGTAGCAAATACGATAGTGGCGTAAAATAGCATGATTGAACAGGCAATGGAAACTGTGGGATTAGTCAATATTTGTCTTGTGTTGTACAGTTAAAGAGATGTGTAATACTACAGCACAGGGCTGTTTTCAATATGGGACGAAATAAAGGAAAAAGATGATAAAAACGTCTCAAAATGCTCAGTTTCCTAAGCTCATACCAGAATTATTCAATTTGCGCAAAAGGTGGATAATGTGATATACTATAAGGGTGTCGAATTTAGGTTTTTGAGGGCCAGCGTTTAATTGATAAAAATTCAGTTACCTTTTGCATACGCTACGGCATTCCATTTCAGTACAAGCTGCAATCCTACTTAATGTAAACTATATTATCATATGCTATATCAAATTTGGCTGAAATTGATCCCAATGGATGAGATATCTACTTCAACGTCTAAAAGTAAGTGGTAGAAGTCAGCCTTTACTATTTTAAATACAACATATACTGTTTATTTATTGATTCATCAATGTCTCATTGTTATGCAGGTATTAATTGGTGAGATCTCAGAGCCCAGACTCCGCGGTGTGTTCGGAAGTTCTCCCGGGATTGCCTACGCTCTGGGCATCCTCGTCGTGTATGCCCTGGGCAGTGTATTGCCTTGGCGTATAGTGGCAGTCCTGGGCATAGTGTTGCCCGCCACGGGGTGTCTTCTGTTGGTAGCCATGCCCGAGAGTCCAGTATGGCTGGTCCATCAAGGACGGACTGACGACGCTAGAAAAGCTCTGATGTGGCTGCGGGGGGAAGACAACAACAAGGTTAGAGGGTGAAGTCACAGTACAAGTATATCAATAGTGTCGGAAGTTGATTTCTGGTTACCGATAGACTGTTTTAGACATTTTCCATCAGGATAGGTGAACAAATTTTCAGAATTTTCAGAAAAACAGGGTTCACAGTATGCCAATCATCAAAGATCTTTTACCCAAACATTTTTTCAAGAAATGCTCTTAAACATTCCAGTACTACTTCCTAAATAACAGACTGTACATAAAAAAATTTAAACTCGACTCTTCCAGGTTAACCACGAACTACATTCCCTCCTTGTACATCTCAAGGCTGAGGAAGACCGTTTGTCTCAAGAGGCTCAGTCCGAGGCCTCGTGTACACTGTTGCCTAATTGCCTCACTTGCCTTGCGAGACCCGAGGTCGCAAAACCCTTCGCAATCATCCTGGTGTTCTGCCTCCTCCAGATCCTCTCCGGATCCTACATTGTCATCTTCTACGGCGTCGACATCGTCAGCAGCGCAGTAGGAGCGTCAGACTCGGACCTGCAGAGTCTCACAGTGGCTGTTGTCACAGCTGCGATCAGGTAGTGTGAATGATCGTGTCATTTTATGACTGTGTTGTAGACATTTGTTTTAGTTAGGTGATTTTAAATTATTAATAAGTAAAGGTGTTAAAACCTAAGGCTGTGTAGGGTTTGAACATAGTTTCAAATAAGCGGCATGGATGAATCAAATCAAGCTCGGTGAAGTCACAATTTTCACCCCTACATCTAGCTTTAGGGCACTCCACCAGCCATGAAGCGAAGAATCTTCCTAGCTTATGTACAACAGTTTCGTTTATGCCTATTACAACACGTATCACAGTGCTACTAGAGAACCCGTGCGGCTCAATGAGCCGCATAGTATGAAACACGACGCCGAGGAAAACGTTATGCTTAAATTCGAGTAATTCTAGTTACAGCTTAGAGTTGTTTAAACACATGTTAGAAACTAATTTTAAATATCTCTATTTGTGTCGTCAAGATTCACCTACATTATTTCTGCTCTCAGTTTTAACTGATAACTTCTAATGAATGCTAATCGATCTGCTTCAATTCGAGCAAACATGTTGCAACAAAGTTTTTCCAGCGTTGAGAATTGAAGAAAACTGTTGCCTAGGCATCCCCCTAATCAAACTAATTTTCTCCGTAGAGAATCCTGAAAAGTAGAGTTATCAGCCATTTAATGTGCTCAATTTTTTAACCACAAACTCTGGGTTATCAACCGGAAAGCCATAATCTGCTTTGAATAGGCTAAAGCAGCAACACCATTGATAGTTTGTTAACGTGTTGTGTGTTAGTCACAGTATATGCCCCGCATCAGAACGTTCTCACGTTGTTCAGTGGGGTTTCTATTAATACCTGTCCCAAAGTTTTGAAAGTATGGATTCATTTTTCGAAATAGGTTGGATAACTCTTGTAGCTATAAGATTTGGATAGCAATTTTCATTTTCTCTTTTTGAACAGCGTATAGTATTTGCCTCTTCTGAATCATAAAAATAAACTTGACTGTAACTACTCAATCGTTGAATACATGAACACTAATTCCTTCACTTATGTCTAATAATGCCAATAAATTCAGTAAAAAAACTCTGTATCAGTTTGTCCGAGGAACTGGCAACATAACCTAGAAGTAAACAATCCATTTGTGTTTTTCCTCAATTAAAGTAGAGCGAGTAATAAAAAAGTTTACAATAAAAACATAAGGTCCGCCAAGATGTGGTATAATCTTACTACTTGAACTTATCAACTCAAGGCATTATTATGGTTTCTACTAAATGTTTTGAAATATCTCGATCTGTCATTGTCATAAGTAAAAGTTTCTTGCATACATTCACTTGATCTGACATTAGGCAAGTTTATTTTACCACCGTGACAACACTATGTGCTTCGTATACCTATTTTTTTACTTCCAAAGTAAGTAGCATAGCAGAACTGGCAAATATTATTCATCTCGCCAAGTGAATGTGTATCTGTTAGACCAGGCCTCCCTTTCTCTACTCTCCTTGTACACATAAGATACCTTATTATCTCCTCCCCCCGTTTTAAAAATTTCTTCTTTGAACCTCAGACATTTTCCGTTCTTCCAACAAAACTGATTAACTGTTTAACTTGGAAAACCTACTGAATACTAAAACATTAATATTTACTCCCAAAAAACTAATGAGTTTCTTTTTATAAACAGCTGTTTTTTGTTTTTAAATTTGTTCTGCGTATTTCTTATGGGGATAACCCGACCTTTGAGAGGGTCTCACGCCCTTAAGAGTAAGAATTTTTAAATTCTAAAACCTTATTGCAAAACTACATATTGAGACGAATCTTTTGACACCTTAAACGTTGAAATTGGTCCACAAATAACGGAGGAGTTGCGTTAACAAAATACGGCTTCACGTATTATATATATAGATAGATTCTAAAACCTTATTGCAAAACTACATATTGAGACGAATCTTTTGACACCTTAAACGTTGAAATTGGTCCACAAATAACGGAGGAGTTGCGTTAACAAAATACGGCTTCACGTATTATGTATATAGATAGATAGATAGATAGATATACAATATGTTGAGGTAAATGAATATGATATGATATAACACTTCACTACAAATGTTAGAACAACATATACTCTAAACAGCAAATAATTCGAAGGTTGACCATGAGGGGTTTCAACGATTATATCAAGATATTTATTTTTTTAGGGATAGCCCTAGAACTGGATAGTCCACGAGTGTGATAGTTACTAATTTTATTAATGAAATCAAGTATTTTATCTCATATTACTTCTAAGAATGTTTTAAGAAAGTCCTGTTGCAGGTTCGTCGTTTCAATACTAACAACGGTCAGTCTGCTAAGGCTTGGTAGGCGAAAGATCGGCATCATCTCGGGTTTGGGCACTTCTGTCGCCTGCTTCCTTCTCGTCGGCTACCTGCAACTCAAGAGGTACGCCTTCGTCACCTTCCCGCCCAGCGGGGACGTTTGGGTCATCTCTGGACTCATAGTCTTCTATGTCGCCCTCAACACCTTCGGGATCTTCGGGCTGCCGAGTCTCATGCTTGGAGAGGTTGTAGACAATGTTAACGTTTCTTTTTGTCACTAGAAAGTTAAAAAAATGCATTGTTAAGATAAGAAAAGAGGGTTGATGATTAAGTTATACATATGGGAAAGATCTTTGGGTTCTAAACTTCGTGTAAACACACCAAGCTAGTTAGGATTAGATAAGAGTAGATTTATGCGATCCCAAAACATCTAGATGAATGCAATCATAGCTATTTAATGGACTAAAACCAGCTCTAAATATAAGTTTAAATATTTCGTTAATGGGGTGATGTATTGTTTTATTTCCCAGGTTCTCCCCTCCAGTGTGCGAGGGTTCGTATCTGGGTTCCTGGTCATGTTGATCAACCTCCTCATCTTCTCCACAGTCAAGCTGTACCCTCTGGTCGCCCGGGGGCTTGGCCCCAGTGGCGTGTTCCTCGTCTTCGGCGTGACTGCCTCCGCCATCACCCTGTACGTGTACCTCTTCCTCCCAGAGACCAAGGACCGCCCTCTCACCCAGATCGAGCAGTACTTCGCCACCGGGAAGAATTTCCTTTGGGCATCGAGAGATAGGTCGCTGATGGCGAAAAATAACGGTTTAGTATGACGAATTCTTGAATGTTGTTTCTGTGAAAAGAGAACGTCCGTGTTGAATTTAAAGAATGGGACCGAGAAGGGTTTGGTTGATCTTCAAATATTGATACATTCCATTTACATGTTTACAATTTCCATGCAACAAAGTGTGCTTGTGTAAATTTACTGGTTTTCATAATGATAACTTATTTCATTTTGAATACCAATTAGCTGCAGCTGTGAAAATTGGTTACCTCTGCTTGGATAGTATTGTTTATAATGAATTGAACTTAGCTTGCATACCAACAGAAAACCTTAACACCAGAGTATGAGTTAAAGGGTCGAAACACTGATGATTTCTTTAGATGCCCAGTTAAGTAAGTAAGGAACCCATTAAAACATCACGATCTGCAGATTACAAGTATTATTAGGAATATGTTCTTTATAACATAAGTATCTGTGATAAAATATGTTTAAGCTTAGATAATTTTTATTTTGTATAAATAAAGACTGTATAGTTTCCTTGTAGTTTATTAGTCTGATACTTTTGTAGTTCTTATAGTTACTTTAAAGCATTTTAAAAAAATATTTATTTGTTGAATATTATATAAACCTAATGAAAAAGGAGTCCACATGCCTCGTCTGGTAGTTACTAAGGGACTTGTATTGTAGGGCCGGGACGAATTCTGCATCAGCAATCTCTATGTGCTCTGTTATAATGCCTTGACCAGTTGGCCCAGAATCCACCAGTTTCAAAGTTCAATTATGTTCCTAAAACAAGTATGTCTTATGCTAAACCTAATGTTTTATTTTACTTTTACCTAGTGAAATCAGAATAGTTACAATTTTGTTTTTATAGCTTGGTAAAAGCCTTATTAATTTTACCCATACGGATATTATTATTCTTTAATCTTCCTTAATGGGATACTCAAATATTAGTAACAAATATTTCATACGAGGAATTCAAGAAAAATGTATGTTTAACACAAAACAACTGGTACATGAATGAGTGTGTCACATTTTTCTTACTCGAATAAGCTTTATGTGAATGTGATCCATCTTTTCCGCTAGAGTGACTTATAGAATTGGTAAATGTTTGTAAACCTCAGGATGAAAGCGCGGGAAACCCAGACCTTGGCGAAGTTATGGAGGGAATATATAATATTCGCTCAACATAAGTAGGTTAACACGTTGATATAGGAGATGTTTACATAACATTATTTTGAATCACTTTGCTACATTAGTGGCAGTTACTTAGACATGAGAAAATACTAGTGACCTAAACAAAATTTGTATAGCACAATAACAAAAGAAAATTAATTAAATATTTTACCTAACCCACCATGTTAAACTTCCCTATCCCAAGCGTGATGTATACAACTTCTTTACTTTTCGACCATAAAAAGTAACAAAATATACCGTAACCTGTGTAATGCAAGTGAAGGTTTGGGCCGTGTATTACATTGTATTTCCACCAAAGGTCAGCATGGATTTTGTATTATTACAACACGAGTGGAAAATATAAAGTAGTAACTAACAATGACACCAAACCCCGCTGTTATTACACAATATCTTTGTTACGAGAAATAACAACACGCTTTATACAACTTTCCTTTATGTGTAACGTTAAACATAACTTAAAACTGTAAGGGAGTCTTATGTTAATACTTCGTGTTTAATGATTATGCATTAATTATCTCTAGTCTCTAAATGTGTACAACGAAGAACCTCTTATTTCTACAATCAGACCTATCTAAAAGAAAAGTATGACCTGACCTTATCAACTATTTTACAGCAAGAACTAGTGTGTGATATTTTATATCTTAATGACGAAGTTTAAGTGAGAATCGACTTATTATATGTTAAATTAACAACATATTTGTGACATCGCTGAAATTTAGTCTGTTATACTGCGTAAGAAATTTCCTACCAAACATTGTGGTCTTTGTGTTGTGTAAGTTAATTAATCATAGTTACAACGCTGTTAGGAAAAGGTTATTTTAGCGTTTAATATTAATAATTTAATTTTCAAACAAATAAAATAACACTATCCGTGGTTAATGGAGATAACTCATATCAACAATGTATGATTTTGAAAAGAGGTGTAATAGTAAATTAACACAAATGCTGCTCAACCCATCGCATCTGTTTTGTTTTTATGTGTGTTCAAGTTCAATTTGATGTGTTACTGGCCGCTTCAAGGGCACTGAAATCTAACACATTTCACAGAGAAGGCAGGAAGATAAATTGCAATTGTGCTGGAGAGCTATGCGATCACTATGAACTTATAACGGATTTTGAATATGATAAGGCAAAAAAAGATTTATTACTTTTCGAACTGAAAGTGTAGACATATTATTTTAATATTACTACAGATGACTCAATTAATTGTTATACTCAAGTTTGGGTATAAAGTTGAATGCTAGTAGTCATTGATAACACGTAACAAGATATAAAACTGTTACTGAAATAGTGCTTTCAAATAGTGTCACAAAATTGGATTATTTTTAGTTTAGCAAGGTATAAAGATTTACACGAAGAGATCGTGTTGTCGCCAGAGACATATCCTGTTGACAAGGGTCACAATATGCGGCGGGGGTTGACAAGCTTATCCTTATCCAGGTGGGAGGGTTGGGCCTGCTCTTGAATGGTGTAAAATTAAATGGTAGGAAGTTTTACTATCTGTAATACTTAACATATCTCAGGTTAGGTTAATTTTTCAATAAAGTTTATATGAATAATGAATTGAGTTTCTTGCTTCACAGTCACTGTCTGACCTACATTTTAAATTAGTTTTTAATAATAGAAATTGCAAATGCAATAACAAAACTATTAATATAGGTGTTATTCTTTCTGGAAACGTTATCTCATTTTCAAGGTGGTTGTGATTAAGAATAAAATGTGATTAATTGTAAAATATGTGTTACTATTCGAAAGCAGTATTTGGACTCTGTTTAATTATGTGTACAGTAAAACCTCATTAATTCTGGCCTTTATTAAGATTTGTTTGCTTAAAATTAAGGCTGCGTCCCAATAAAATAAACAGTTCACAGTGCTTCAGTAGTTTATTAAACTAATTCAGAATAGCCTATCTTTATATTTTTGTAAACGGTGACCATCAAATAAAATGTGTCCTAAGGCAATTCTAAAATATCACTTAGCCAAATTGCCTTTCATTTACAGGTAAATGAAGTACATATATATACAATTGTGTTTTTAAAATAACGATTTATAATCTAAACTTACAAAAAATTCATTCTGCAGAAGACTATTCAAAATAGACGAACATTTGAAATGTGGAATGTATAAGGAGGAAGTTTTTTCATGAATACTGATTTGTAAAGATGCGGCAAGAGTACAAAATATTTTTTTGGGATTGAAAAGTGCAATAAAAAAACTTATTAAAAAATCTATGTAAATTGTATTAATTATTGAAAACACTATCAATATTTTAGTTAAATATTCATATACCGCTATTAATCCGTCCATTAATAATTTAAGAGAATATTAAACTATAAAAAAAACTATTTTGTGTTAAAAAATAGTGTTAAAAATAAACTAAACAATAAATAATTGCAGCATCTCTGGGACAAATAAAAAAAAAATTATTACAAAAACATTCATTTTTTTAATCTGTTTTAACTATAATAGAAATATTCACCGTAGAGAAATCTAAAATTGTACAATTATTGTTTAGTGGGCCCTACTTTGCATTCAAATTATGCTTTCATTCCAATTTTATTTTATATTCAAACTAAAAATAAAAATCATTGATTATTGCGTATCGTTATAATTGGTCTACCTTCCATAGAAGTAAAATTTGCTTAACCTCGTTACTTCAACTTTGCGGTTGAAGATGCACAAAGACAAAATGGATAATCAACTTTTAAAATTGTGTAGATATTATACTACGTTGATATTGTAAGCTTATCAACAAACATAATGTTAAAAAAAAGGTTGGTGGTCTGGTAAACATATTTAAAAAGCGTTTGATGTATTTGAGAAAAACAGGCCTAAAATAAAACTTTGTGTGACTCTGTGGTAAATATATTTGTTCTACTCAGTATTCTCAATGACGATCAGTGTTCAGTATGACGATCTCAATTTTAACTTGTTACAAGATGCAATGGCCAAAATGAATGGAAACTAAATAAACAACAATACTTAAGAAAATAAGTGTTCTTATATTATTTAAGGACAATACTTCTTCAGAACAGTGGGCTTGCCTACGATTTTGTGCACTAAAAGACCTTGATCTATGACACTGAGTAAGCCACAAAATCACAAGGGACATTTATCACAAGTGAGAAGGCTTAGGCTGATAAAGAGACCACAATGTCTCCGGTACATTAGACAAGGCTTAGACTAAATCATGGTCTCGCTTTGGGTAAATCCTGCATTCTGTTTTGCAGCGCTTTAAAAAAATAATCACCAAAGTATTTTCTATCAACCATATCTACTAGATAGTTTGTGTTGAATGTGTATGTTTTTAAATGTACGGATTGTGTTGTGACAATAATATTGGTAATAAAATTAAGTACCTAGGTACAAAACATATTGAGAGTGGACCAATTTTGAATAAAATAATTTTGGATTAGGTTAAATGTTATTAAATGGATGATAATATTATGAAATATTACGTGTAGTTACCTAAAGTGGTATTTGATGTACCAGTGTACAAGAAGGACGCAAATGGAAATAATGCGGATAGTTAAAATGCATTGAAAACGATTGTGAGATAGCCAGGGGATAGTGCAAAGTGAAACAGACGACAGTTAGCAAAGTGTATCCTTCTATACACTAAAGTCACGTTTGAGGTAGCGCTGAGTTACATCAAATGTTCCTATCCACTACTGTATTAGTCAATGATAGAACCATCAGACCACCTTGGTCCATGCTGATTCGTCATTGCTAAGATTTTTCTTTTCTTTAAAATAAATGACTTCTCAAAGACAAATCAGTTTTATGGAAGTTTAAAACCAATATGGTGTACTATATATTTTTAATTTGTTTATTCCTAAAAATATCCTAATTTAGGTATAACACTATGCAACCATTTGGACTATTAGGACTCCACTGCTACTCTACTAAGTTTTGGTCTTAGAAGGAAATTTGAACTGTAAATACCTGCTTGTAATGAAATATTATGCCTTTTAATTCTGACTTACTTATAAATTTAGTTATATTTGCAACAGAGGTTAAAATTGCATAGTTGCTTTAATTTAGGGTATTAAATATCCAAATTGTTAGAGTTTGAGTACAGATTGTAATTTTACTTTACAATGAGTACCTTATAAGGCTTGTAACTTGAAATGAGAAGATTATTTTCATAAATAAATGTTTATGAATAGTAAATTTATGTAACATTACAAAACCGTATTACATAAAAGTATTATGATAAAAGAGGTAGATTCTTTTAGAAAGAGATAACATCGCTTCTAGAGCATATAAACGTTCATCGGTTGGATTTTACGATCC